GTCAAAGTCACTGTCTTTTTTCGTTTTATGGTTTTTGTTTCGCTTTTTGTCTTTTTGCTCGTGTTTTTGTCCCCCTAGTTGCCCCCCTTTACTCGGTTAGCTAAGCCTCGTTCGGAGAGCGTACCAGGAAGTTTTCTTGAGTTTTCTTAAAAAGCTATCACGGTACAACCGGAAGGTTTGCACGTTCCTGTCGAACCGTACCGCCGGTACTCTAGAATGGGCATTCAGCCCGAAGCTGTCTCAAGTGGGTTCGACTCCGTAGTCTTGATGTCGTAAACACCCAGGAGCGCCATAAAAACACTATGTAACATTCGTCTACTGCAGTCACACATGAGGCTTAAGAAAAATAGGCCCTATAACCATTGGCTCAAGAGTCAGGGACACTATCTCTTGTGTTTTTGTACCTCAAATCAGTCGGAGCCAATTCGGTTCGCTTGTGACATGAGACTACGACCCGTTACAGCTTAAAGGCTACTACTAAAATATCCCCCCACTCTAGAATTGGAAACGTCCCCATACTTAGGTCTCTAGATACCCAAAATACATGAACGCCGTTAAAAACCGGGTTGGAACAATCCGTTAAGTTACTTTTTATTAGACAGTGGAACTTTGATCCATTTCAGATGGATCAACCTAAAACTCGCCTTACCTCAACATAACAATCATAAAACACACTCTAGAAATTTAAATTAGTACTCACATTGTAGCACGCTCAAGAACCAGGAAGTAAATAAGTCGGTGAGCAACTCAAGAATCAATAAAGTAACTAAAATGAGTTTAATGTTAGTCAGTTTTAATAACAAGAACAAGTTTTTACTCTAGACTGTAAGTTCTCGTGAACCATTGGGACACTCTAGCTGTCCACCTTTCCACCGAAGGTTCACTCTAGTCCAGTTTAGAATAATACTCCAATCACAACAATCCAGTTCGTGGGAATGCGCTCGTCTCTGTTTTAGATGGGACAGCTCTACTCTCGATTATTATTGCTGCTGAAATTGCGAATAGCAATTTCCCACTGATTTTTCTAGCAACTTTCCCGCGATTGTCACTCGATCGTTCTCTCTTCTCTTTTCTGATTTTCAGTTATCGCGAGAAAATCGTGCATGACAGGTTTCATTCGAAATTTTGAAAAATTAAATTTCACTCCAAAATTAAGTGCTTTTTGCTTCTCTCAAGGTCAAACTTCCAAATATGACCGACTGGCACAAATGAATTCGTGTTGATTTCCTCTAAATTCGACTTAAAAACATTTGTCCAGTGCCAGACTCATTTTGTTTTTGTCTACCCAGTTTTCAACGCTTTTTAGGTCCTGTTGGATGTCTTTTGTGTCTACAATCACTGCTAGCAATTTTAGGTCGTCTGCCAAGATTTATGGGTCACTAATTTTCAAAACTTCAGGAAGATCAATTATGAAGTTGTAGAAGAATAATGGACCAATCAACGTTCCTTGTGGTACGCCACTTGTAATTTCTAAAGTTTCTGATGAGAAATTGTCAGCACGAACAAATTGTTTCCTGTTGCTGTGATAGTCTGAGATTATTTCTAGGAAACAGCCTCCAAATCCAAAGTTGCTCGTTTTCTGTAATAGTTCGTAGTGCAAGACTTTGTCGAATGCCTTAGAGAAGTCAGTATAGAATGCGATCACATGGTTTTCAGCGTTCTTGTCAATTGCTTCGTAGATTTATTCCAAGAAGGAAAACATGTTTGTAACAACTGAACGGTTTTTAGCAAAACCGTGCTGACTTCTTGTGAGAAATTTGATGAAATGGTCGTACAGCGCTGGATACATGCATTTTTCCAGGAGGTTACTCATGATATTTAGGACCGACACCGGCCGGTAGTTTTCCATTTGTCGTTTGTCACCTTTCTTGTAAATAGGCAACAAAGCCGCAACTTTCCAGTTATCTGGTATTTTTCTTACCTTCTTGATGTTTTTAAAAACGCAATGCAAAATTGTGGTCATTTCTCTGGCCGTTCGCTGGAAGAAAATTGGTGGGAGTCCATCTGGGCCCCGCAATTTTGTTATGTCAAGCTCTGTTATAATTTGGTTTAAATATGTTTTTGAGATACTGAATTTACTCAATATCGTGTTTTTGCACTTCATGTCACTGAGTTTGAAGCTTGATTTGGGTGAAAAGACAGAGTGAAAATAATCATTTAAAAAGCTCACTTTTTCTTTGGCTTTGGAAACAGCTATGACATCCTTGATCTTATTCTTTGGGAGAGTTTCTGATTTTTCAGACTCTTAATTTGTTTGAAAATTAAATGTGTGTTACGAGTGGACATCACATTTTCCTGATAATTTAATCTATCTTCCTCTACTGCTTCTTTCACCATTTTATATAGAGATAGAAGGAGATTTCTGCGGTAGCTTGTAGGTTTCAATTTGTATCTTCAAGTTTGTGTTCGCAGTTTGTTCATGATGTTTGAGGTACTTGGCGTAATCCATGGCGGAAGTGATTGGCGACGATTCGTTGTTCTGGGCACATGTTGGTTTACCAAATTTTTCAAATAGCCGGAAAGTTCTTCGCACATTCTATTGATGTTTATGTGACATACTGGTGAGAAAGGCTCACTTAGTATTGATTTCTTGATTTCGTTATAGTCCACGCTACCGAAGCTTCGAAAGTTTTCAGTAGCGACTTTTACCTCATGGTGAGGACGTTCAAGTTGAATGTCGATTGCTTTGTGGTCAGAGCAATTGTAAAATTTTGAGAAATTTTTGCCAGGAGTCACATGAATGTGACAACTTTTGAATAATGTAATGTCTAGGGTATTTTTGCCACAAGTTGGAAAATCTATTGCTGGCTCGAATTGATGTTGCTCTTTTAGTTCAATTATTGACTCTTCTTCATTTTCGATGCTACTATAGTCAATCCAGTTTGCATTTGGAAAATTTACATCTCCGCAAATAAGTGTTGCAGTTGATTGATTTGATTCCTCAATTTCAGTTAAAATTTGTGCGAAATCGCCTAAACAATAGCGATATTTGCCGCTCGAAGGTGGATTGTAAAAACAGGAGACAATAATTCGCTTATCGTTTATTTGGATGCTGCAAGTTAAACAACACTCAGGTTGCTTATTTGGCAATAATTCAGATGAAAATGTTTGTTTCACTGCCATTAGAACTCCACCGTGCAAACTTTGATATTTGGCTGTTTGTCGTTCTGATCTATAAATACTGTATTCAATTAGCATTAATTCAGATGATGCAATGTTTTCATTTAACCAAGTCTCGCAGAGACATATTATGTCATAGTTTGATGTTGCTATAGCATTTGCAAACTTCATTCGTCGTTCGAGATTTATGAGACTTCTTACATTCATTTGCAGGATGTTGAGAAAGCTTAGTCAAGCATCATCTTTTTTTCCATCATTGAACAGCTCGAAGTTCCTGATTTTGATTTTCTCCTTTGGAGCTCCTTCGTCTAGAAGTTCTCTTCGTCTTTTAAGGCATAGGTTTTCCTTCATCGCATCTTCTTTCGATAATGCTGGAAGAAGGTAAATTTTCTCATCTCGCAGAGCATCTCTTTTTTTGAAGCTCTTTGCCAGCACCAATCGTTCTTCATGTTCCGTTGACAGAGTTATTAATAAAGTTTTTGACTTGATGCGCTCTTTGCTGTATTTCCCTAGCCTTTTTATTTCTTCAATTTGTGGTTTAACTCCTAACTTGTTTAGTACCTCATGTACTTTTTCGGTTGTGGGGACAAAATTTTCGCCTTTTGATTTCTCGGGATCTTCTCTGATCCCCTGTATACGGAAGCTTTTATTGATATTATGATGTATTTCATGTTTTACTTCTTTTCCAGCTCCTGTTTTAGCTTTCATATTTTTAACAGGTTTCACACTGAGTACATCTACATAGTTTTTTTTCCAGTTTTTCGCATGTTGTTTTTGCAGCATTTTCGACTTTTTCATCAACCAATGCCATCAGCTTTTTTTCCATATGTTCAAGTCGTGCTTGTATTCCCTCACTCTCTTTTTCAAATTTCTCATTTATTTGCATCATGGTCCTACACTTTATGAAGTTTTCTCTTTCGTTATTAGTGACACATGTATCGCATAGAAGCAATGCGTTTAAACCCAAGTCTTTTATGCCATTGATGGCGGTGTTAGTAAGACCAGTGCAGGTGCCCTCAAGATTCATTTGAGCATTGCAAGATACACAACTGCAACATCTGTCCCTGGCATAAATGGGTGTTTTGCACGTTTTGCAATTTTTAGTCATATTGGTGAATACAGAAAGAAAGAGAAAATGGGATAGAGAGAACTTATTTACAATATGATCCATTTTGATCCAAGCCTGGACAATTAAGCCAAGTCCGTCACAAATTCAAGTTTAAACTCACAATTTATTTCTGTTCTCGTTTCCTTTGTGCTTCTCGTTGTTTTTTTGACGGTTTCTTTTTCTTCTTTAAGATATCACACAAGTTGCTATTGTTGTTTCGTATTATAGCTAATGTTTTGATTTCAAGAGTGGTTTCTTGTAGCAGTTCTCTGTATCCTTCAAGTAGATTTTTGTCTTGTTTTTAAGAATTTGAAATTATGTCTGTTGTAACTTGAACAACTGGTTTCGGTAGTTTCTTTAGATCTTCAAGAATAAAGGGTGCACCGTCTCTCTGACAATAGACAATGCCTTCAATTCGAGGATGCGAACTGATTAGGGGTTTGATTTTCGATACTAGTTGATTGGCAGTAAGGGGAGTCCTTGGACTGAATGGATGGTCTGAAATCGAATTGTTTATTACGTCGTGCTATATAATTACAAACTCGTATCTATTAATTTCGTCTCGCAAGATGTTTCGTACAATTTCATTCGCTTTCGATTTGGGGCATGAAACGTTACTCCTTTGTAATGGATGACGTCTTATTGTAGTTCCTCTTTTCCTCGTACTGATGACCAATCTTCGAGTGCCAGATGTAATGAGCTCGCTCCAATAATCACAACCATGAATAAGGGGTCACCACGGCTACCCCGCAAATCATATAACCTGAAACTATTTAATAAGTTTACACTTTATGAAAGTGAAAGTTTCTCCTGTCACTTTCTTCGGAAAATTTACATCTCCGCACTATACCAGGCTAGTTCATTTTGTGGTCCATTAACATCGGGTCGACAAAGTTAAAACAAATTAAAGGCTATCGGCCAAAGCGCGCAAATTAACGTAGTTACATGCAGAAATAGTGAGCTCATCCCCAGATCACGCGGTCAACGCTAAAAGCAGGGCTACTACTTGATAATTATATTAGTATTGTTTTTGTTCAGTAGATAAAACTCATCATACCCATCGGAGATGGATCAACCCTTTCCTCAAATCCTAGCCTCTCATACTCTTGATGAAAAACTTAATTCAATTTGTGCCAGTCGGTCATATTTGGAAGTTTGACCATGAGCAATGCAAAAGACATGATTTTGAGGTGAAATAGAATTATTCAAATATTCGAATTGAGCATTTCATACTCAAGTTTCTCGCGACAACTAAAAATATCAGAAAAATAAGATCAGAAGATTCAAAACACAATTGCGGGAAAGTAGTCAAAAATAGCAGCGGGAAATTGCTATTCGCAATTTCCGATACATAATTCGAACGAGAGTCGAGCTGTCTTATTCTTAACAGAAGGCAGAGTGATCGCGAGTAAAGAAGAGATATATTAGAAGTGGACTAGAGTGAACCTTCGGTGGAAAGGTGGACAACAGATGTCTCCCAATTGTCCAGACCAAAACTTATTTTTTGAGCTACAACTATTTCTTTACAAACTTCTCGAGTTAAACTTTTTTATCTATTTATTTTAGAGTTACTTATTATTTTAGTTACTCAATTCTAGAGATTGTGCTGGTATGTGAGTATCAAACTTATTTTTCTTGAATGTGTTTTATATTTCTATGTTGCGTTAGGGAGAAGTTTTAGGTTGATCCATCTGAAATGGATCAAAAGTCCACTGTCTAATAAAAAGTAACTCTACGTAAGGTTACGACCCTGTTTTAAGCGGCATTCGCGTGTTTTAGATTTTTTGAGACCTAAGTATGGGGACGTTCTTATTTTCTAGTGTGGGGGGTATTTTGGTATTGGCCTTTAAGCTGTAACAAGGGTTTTAGTCTCATGTCGAAAGTAAACCGAATTGGCTCCGACCGCTTGAGTTAGAAAAACACAAGAGATAGTGCCCCTGACTCTTGAGCCAACAGCTATAGGGCCTATTTTTCTTTAACCTCATATGTGACTTAAGTAGGCGTCTGTTACATAGTGTTTTTATGGCGCTCCTGGGTGTTTTTACGACATCCAGCCACATGCCCATTCTAGAGTACCGGTGGTACGGTTCAACGGGAATGTATTCACCTTCTGGTTGTACCGTGATAGCTTTTTAAGAAAACTTGAGAAAATTTCCCGGTGCACTTTTCGAAACCAAGCATAGCTAACCGAGTAAAAGGGGTCACTAGGGGGACAAAAAACGAGTAAAAGAGAAAAAGCGAAACAAAAAAAAACAAAAAAAGATTAAAAATAGGAACAAAAAATTACAAAAAACATAAAAAGGACAGTGGCTTTGAATTCCAGATTGGGTGGATCAAACCTTTATATTAATTAAATTAGTATACGTATACCGTTTTCCAATAAGACCGATCGTCTCGATCAAATCAGCAACGTTTCACAGGTGCCCAAGTGTGGGGCGTTTTAAGGGTTTTCAGATAGCTTGCAACTTTAGGGGACCACTGGGAGGCTTGACTGGAACAGGTGACCAGCCAAGTGGGAAAATGGTTCTCAGGAAAGGGACCTGAGAGGTGCTGGAGACGCTATGGAGACATTCAGCAGGGAATCAGAGCAAACAGAGAAGGCCACACAGGGGTGTTCTGTTTGGTCAATCGGGTATCGTTAAAATCCACATTACATTAGAGGAAATAAGTCTAAAATTGGATACGCGGATACCCACTGTTTTGAGGATACGTTTTTACTTGAGCAGAGCTTGGAAACAAGTTTTCTCTCGAGAGGTTTAGCACCCAACGCGCTTAAGGTAATTTTCGGCTTAAGTAGGGAGCTAGATAGGGGGGAGGTTAGAAGGAGGACTGGTTAAGGTAGAGGTTGGTGATTGAAATTTTTAAAAAGGGGGGTCATATTATAGTAACTATACAATAGACATCGTCGATTTGGTTACATAAGTAGACCCAGAGTCTGGAACGATCCATTTTTAGACTCAGAGCAAGAGTTGCAACGCAAGGACATCCAAACTTAAGATCGAATTAAAGTAGGTAACCTAGTAGGATCGGGTGGGGGGATCAGATATAGACATTTTTTGGAACCCGAAAGGAGAATACCCCATAAGACCGTTAGTATGGGGGAGGAAGACGCGTGACAATCAGGTACCAGACATTTGTTTACAAAAAGACGACATTGGTAGCCTTTGAATTTTGGGTGTACTGGTCCTTCTGTTTTTTATCATTTTTCTCACTTAGATTTTTATGTTTTTGGATCTAATTTTATTGGCGGGTCTTGGGACAGTTCGAAGTGTCCTAACACTTGTGCGAGGGGTCTTGGGACAGTACGAAGTGTCCCAACACTTGTGCGAGGTGTCTTGGGACAGCGCGAAGTGTCCCAACACTTGTGCGAGGGGTCCTGGGACAGCGCGAAGTGTCCCAACACTTAAGCGAGGGATCTTGGGACAGTACGAAGTGTCCCAACACTTGAACGAGAGGTCCTGGGACGGTACGAAGTGTCCCAACACTCGAGCGACGTCTCCCAGGAGGGTTCAGAGAAATCCTGGGACAGTGCGAAGTGTCCCAAAACTTGAGTGAAGGGTCCTAGGAGGGTTCGAAGAAGTCCTGAGACAATGTGAAGTGTCCCAACACTTGAATGGAGGGTCCTAGGAGGAATCAGAGAAGTCCTGGGACAGTTCGAAGTGTCCCAACACTTGATTGAAGGGTCCTAGGAGGGTTCGAAGAAGTCCTGGGACAGTAACTGAGTGTCCCAGCACTTGAGCAAAGGTACCAGGACCTAATCAGAACGACCAAGAACACAGCTAAAAGTCCACACTATTGGCGATACTCGAATGGTTTCTTTTTACAAAAACTAGGAAAACTTTTTTATTTTAAGATATTAGAATAGGAATTTGTACACATTAGCAAATTAGAATTACAAAAAAAAAGAAAAATTATGATTAAAAAAAAACAATGAAGAAAACCAGAGTATCACTAACCGAAAGAAAGGGAACAGGACTTAAGCAGAGCCATACCTCAATGCAAAGGAAACCGGCACCAACGAATCCGAGAATAATGAGAAAAAAACTTTTCAGTTAATATGGTCAGCACAAGAAGCAACAAGGAGCAGAAGGTGAAAGAGAAAACGATGGAAGAACAAAGCGCACCAGGAAAAAAGACTGATCTAGAGACACCAGATCAGAGCATAGACGGGATAGAACAAGACGACGGAAACAACTCCGATGCCAAACACCGTAGAACAAGAAAAGAATACCATAGAGTTCTCACCAATGGGCAATGGGGAAAAAGTGACCAATACGCCAGAGACGATCAAAGACGACTCACAAACGAAGAGAACGTCGTTCACCGAGAGGATTGCTGCGATGGTCGGAATGAAACCAAGAGCTGAGGAGACAACGGCAGTAACCGAGAAGAGCAAAACCCTTGGGACAGTTTCTACGATAACGACTGACACCAGGAAGGAAAAGGGAGTAGCCTCGCAAGAAGCAGCAGTTATCCCGGACGAACAAGCTAGGAAAAACAGAACAATCTCGGTGGAGCTGGGAGACCTGATGACAAAATTGAATGAGATAGACAAAAAGTTTAAGTGCAGTGAGGAGGACCGCCAGAACTAAAAAAAGGAAATAAGACACAACAAGAACGATTACCTGGATAACTACTATGTCTTAGTAACGTAGGGTCAAAAAACAGACTCAAAACCCAGATATAAGGAAGCAAACCAACCGCGGTACCTTTACATCAAGCTGTAAAGACTACGGAAATTGTAGAGGTTCAAAAAACGCGAGTTAAATCACCTTTGTCCCGATTACAAGACACTTGCTCTCCTTAGTGTAAAAACCACAATATTGAAATTATTTTAAGGGCCACGAGCAACGACACATGCTATATACCGCATCCGGTCAACTTAAGAATTAGATCCAATAACAGTTTCATTTTCCAATGATACCATCAGTCATATTATTTCAATGCGAAAAGAAAAAAATATATTTGTTTGAACGCGTTAACTTACCCAAATTTGGGAACCCCCATAAATTCACGCTAGGGGGCGTTCAACAGTGCCGAAGTATAACAGTGCCGAAAAAGGCGGGAAATTTTAAGAATAATTTAAAGAGAAATTCTTGACGCTAATTATCGAAGAAAATCACTCCAATTTTGGCGCCAAAATGTCTGCAACTGCAAATTATACAATTAATTGGGCGCCAAAACGTCTAAATTGCAAATTTGCTCTCCCAAAATCTTAAGTGCCACTTAAGATTGTAAATGTTCGCCGTTTAATTTTTGATTGCCGCAAAATTGAAATTTGTTCATAATTTTGGCACTGTTTGAACAAAGTTTTCATTTTCGGCACTTGAAATCAATTTTTTTTTCGGCACAGTTGTACTTCGGCACTGTTGTACTGCCCCTCAAATCAGCCCATGGTAGCTAATATATCGTCTCAATTTTCAGCTTAAAACCAGCGCAAAAACCGTTCGAAAAATGATCACATATAGTTAATTTGAAGAATCTAAACGAAAAAAAGAACACACAGTTCCTGCTCCAGTAGCGCACAAAATTCGACCTCGATTATCTTCAAAAACTAAGAAGAAAAGTTATTTATTGTGACATTGTATTATCGATGTCTAAAGAAATCAAAGTTTTGCAGCTAAAGCCTCAACTTTCCAGAAAAAAACTTTCAGATAAAAAGCTTTAAAATTTTTACCTTTTTCTCTTTCCTTGGTTGACGTCGATAGACTTTCGACAATTTTCTTGAAATAAATCATATCTTCCATGGCGTTTTTATCAATCTCATATTTCAGTTCAT